CAGCAGAGCTGCCAGCATGCAGGTGGAACGAGGAGTGGCAACAGCAACACCCCCACCCCTCCTGGTGCAATACCCGGCTTCCCCATTGCACCCATGACCCTCCAGCATCTCCATCCCATGGGACATTTAACTCCCATCACTGCCCAAACCCCACACATGGGACAAACAGACAAACCCAGGTCTGCAGCACAGCTGGGCACAGCTGGAGGGTGTCTGCAGTGGGGACAAATGGCAGAGGGCAAGGACTGGTGGTGACACACAAGCTGGACCCCCCCCCAGCCATGTCTCTTTGGGAGCCAAACCCAGGTAGAGCCCTGGCCAGCGGCAGATCAGGCTGCAGAGCAAGCGTCTGCTTTGAGAGCTCACCTCCAGGCTTTCAGTTTTCCTGGCAAAGTCCTTCAGTGTCTTAAAAAACAAAACTCACAACATTTTTCAAGGGGAAAATGCAGCAATTCCCAGAATCCAACCCACTGCTGGGTCTGGACCACCAAACCACGATGCAGCTTATGAGAACTGTTCTGCAATCAGCAGCGCACCTTATTTGTGCATTTAAACAACAAAGGTCCTTTTTACATTAAAAAAAAGTGCCCTGATGGCTACAAAGGTCTGGGTTGAAACAGAAGCACCCACAGCACCCCGAGATGAAGCCCACAACCCCAGGAGGTGCAGCTGGACTTTTCCTCCTGGTTGGAAACCTCTGACTTCCCCAGCCCCTGGGTACCACCCTGTCCGGGGATGCTGTGCCCTCTTTGCCTGGCTTTCTGGGCTGGGTGATGATAACACAAACATGAAGCTTCCTTCCCCCTCCTTCATCCTCCTCCTTCACACTGCAGGGGTTGGTACCCTCAGCATCTCATCAGGTCCCTCACCCACAACACAGCCCCGACACGAGGGAGCTCAGCCCACTTCTCCATCACCCCATTACCTTTCCCCAGCGTCTTTTCTTGCAGGAGGCTCTGAAAGCAGGTTGATAAATGCAAAGCACCGTGCTCTGACAGCTCCCGGCGTGCAGCCACCTCCTGCAGAGAGGAGCCCGCTGGCAGCCGGGCTGGGGGAGTGAGGGGGGGATGTGGGAGGACTGTGTCGGGAGGCTGATGTTAGTCCAGCTTCGCACTAATCCATCCAGGCCAACACTGAGGTCAGAAAGCACCTTGGGCTCCAACGCAGGCTCCTTGCATCCCATCGCAACCCTGCCAGCCTGCCGCATCCCAAGCTGGGGTAAAGCTCTGCACAGCACACCCTACCCCAGCCCCGTCTGTTCTGCATCCCTCCCCAGCCCTGCAGGGTCAATGGGAGCCCATCAATTCCCAGCATAAACCTGCACCCAAGCCCTTGCCCACAGCATCCACCCCGGAGGTGCACCCACAGCCAAGGCAGCATTGCACAGCTCCAGTCAGTGTCTTTAGTATTTCCAGTTCTGGAGGGCAAGTCCCTACTGTCTGCTTCCTATTTGTAGGAGAAACTCGGCCATAGGTTTTTAACCTGAGTGCATCCTAAACCAGGACTTTGGGAAGAAGAGGACCCGGGTCTGTGCACTGCCAACACAAAGCCAGAGCTGTCCCTGGAAGGGCAGGGTGGCAGCTGGGTGACACAGCCCGCTTGGACTGTCCCCACGGGTGCCTGCATCCCACTAACAGCACTCACCATCAGACAGGGAAAACACAGCCCCGTGCCCACAGGTCCCTTTGCCAGAGCTGAGTCTGGCAGGTGACACTTGTGACACCTGAGATTTAGCCCTGGACCTGCATCCATGCCGATCCTGCACCCATGCCGGTCCCGCACCCAACCTGATCTTGCACTCAACCCAAACCAGCTGCCAACCCCGCTTCCCCAGAAGTTTGGCCAAAAATCAAGAAGGTTTGAGCCCAGCCGCTCCTTCTCCTGGGCACCCACCTCGCCCTGTCCCTCTGCATGTCACTTAGGAAGCAAACACGGATGAAGGTCACCTTTCTCCCGTCCTGCCTTCCTGTGAAGGCTCCTGGAGCCACTTGCCAGGCACCATCCCCACCTCCCCCATCTGCTCCATCCCATAAAGGTATTCAAGGCTTCGGTGTCTAAATAACCACACAGAGCTGGTGGGTATCATGGAGCCCAGCAGCCACAAAAAACAAGCAAGGCAGAAAGCAGAGCAAGGAAAAAGGTGGGAGAGCAGCCACGGGGCTGGTGCTGTGCACGGTACACGCACGGCAAGGATCCGGCACAGCTCCGCTCTGCTGCCGCCGCGTCCTACCCTCACAGTAATTAAGGGAGTTAAAATAAATAGGGATGGTTTCATCCCTGCAGGGATAATTCCTCCTCCCCGGGGTGGTGTGTGCCTGCAGGGCTGCCCCAGAGGTTGGGGATGAGGCAGCCAAAGCCAGCAGGTTGGAAATGGAAATTTCTCAAGAACGGAGGAAATAGCTTCTTTCTGGGGCGTAACCAGCCCTCTCCCTCCAACAACTTTATTTGCCGCTGTCGTATCCCTAAATAGCTCCTCAAAGCAGCTGCTGGGAGCTTACATCTCTTTCACCTCTGCTCCCCTCCCGGCGTCGGGAGATGGGCTCACACAGCTACGATTTCCAAAGCAATTCACCCCAAGCAGAGGGAGAACACCCCAAGCACAGCCACCCTGCAGCCGCTGCCTGCCCCAGCACAGCCCTCCAAACACCAGCAAGAGTTCGGGGAGCCCAGAGCCCCGGGAGGGTTGGGTGTCTAAGGCTGGGATTGGAAACCATGAGCCTCGGGTAGGTCTGGAGCCAGGGATGCGCTCGGGGTCCTTTCGGAGAAGGGGTGATGTTGTGCCAGGAGGGAAGTGGTTCCCTGGGCGCAGTGGGACTGGTACCCCACTCCAGTGACCCCAGAGGTTGGTACCCCAACCCCAACGTGTTTGCCATCCCTGCCCGGGGCTGGGGCTGGATCTGGAGAGAAGAACACACGAGGCAGGAGAAGCGAGCGAGCGAGGGGAAGGTACACGCAGGGGCCGATGCCTGCGCTCAGCCAAAGCGCTGAAGTCAGCACTCTCCGGAGCCATCTGTTCCCGGCGAAGCCCCGGCGCAGACGGACTCGCCCGGGCTCCCGGATGCCGCAATTCGGTGATTCATGCGGTGAGGGGACGGCGTAAAGCCGGACACCGCCTCTGCGGCCGCGCTAACTCCGGGGATGGAGCTGGGAAATTATACATTAGCCGTGCTATGGAAAAGCTTTTTTTCCACCATTTTTCTGGTCGCATGAGCTGGCTTTTAAATGGCAGCAGAGGTCTTTACTGCCGGGCCAGAGACCTGACTCAAGCTGGTTTTTCCCTTATTTCAGAGCACCCCGCTTCACAGGCTCTAAATACTCGTTTGAAAAGGCCAAGTTCAGCAAGCAGCCTATTAGCAAAGCCAGCAAGAGCCTCTGCACTTGTTTCCCAGGTGTAATTGTAAAATGCAGCATCAACAGGAGCTTCCGGGGTGTCCCAGACCTGCTTTTTCCCTGGATTACTCCAAGCTGCCCGGCAGCCCATGCAAAGCAGGAGCCCCAGGGCAGAGAAGAGCTAGCCTGCGCAGCTCTGCAACCCAGGGAAACTGAGGCACAGCACCGCAAAGCAGCAGTGGGAGGTTGCAAAGACCCACCCAAACAGCACTTACTGTGCCACCCCCCCCACACACCGTGACGAGTTCGCTCTGCTCCGTCCCCAGCCCGGCTGCCCTGCGGAGCAGCACAGGACAGCAAGGAGAGCGTGGTGCAGGGACCTGCGGGAAGGGGACGGCGCAGCTTTGCCCAGCCGGTCTCGAGGCTGTCCCTCACCAGATGCTGATCTCCACCAGCTTTGTGCGGTCTCATTAAAGCTAAGCTGAGCCATAACTCATCGGAGCAGGGAAGTCCACATTAAGAGCTGGCAGTGACAACTTTCAGCTTTTCAGGCCTCCTTCCAACAGCAGATGGGTGTCACTCACAGCATCGCCTTCCCGGATCCTTACTTACTGTGGAAAATGGCTTTGGAGCTGCAACTCTGGCTGCTCGGGAGAGTGGAGGGTGAGGGGGGCAGCCACCCTCGGGACTACCAGAGTGGGGCCATGCCTGGAGCAAACACAAGGTTAATCATACCTAAAAGCAGAACCCAAATGTGAACGGGAGCTTGCGAGGGCCCTCACCCTGCTCAGAGCCCCGCCTGGCTGCTGGGGCTTTGCAGGCACCGAGAGAGCTGGGTCACACCCCCACCAGCCTCGGGGGTGCCAGGTCACCCCTCCATCCCCACTCAGCCCTTCTTTGCTCCCAGCACCACCTAATGACACAGGGACAGGGGATAAGGACCTTCACAAGTGAAGCTGGACACATCCCGGTCCCCGGAGAGAAGGATGAAGAGCACCGGTAGCGATGGGGAGGCAGGAGGCAGCAGGACACCCAGCTGGGGCTTGGGGACACAGGCAGCAGAGGAAGAAGGAACTGGAGGTATTGAATATGGATTTATGTAATTGTAACAATCCTTCCTCCGCCCAGGACGCTCAGTCCTCCATCCCTGCCCTTTGCTGACCTTGACCATCCCACGGCTTTCCTCCAGCCCAACATTAACCTCAGGGCCTTGGCCAAGTTCTGGGTTGAGGAAGGACACTGGGCTCAGCACAGAAAGACAAACCCCTTAATCGCAGCCCCAAAACTACCCTGAAGCATCTCCAGTTTGGGAACAGCCATTTGCTGTGCTCAGCACAAGCACAGTGGCCTGTGTGACGGCTACAAAAGCACCCTGACATCGACATTCAAAGCCATGGGGAAGAAAACCCTGAGGAAGAGGCAGCTCATCTCTTCCTGATACCTGCAGATTTGATGCAGCCACAACCACCCCTTCCGTCACGTTTCTGGCTGGGTTATCCACCAAAACGGCTGCCTCCTGCCCTGTGCACACCCCCCTCGGCCCCACACCCTGCTTTCCAAAGCGCTTATTCACCTCCAAACCCTGAGCTGATGTAATCTCCAGCTCAAGAGTTCAGCATTAGGACTGCATCAGCCGCGAGACGTAACGAGAGCCACATCACACAAGCAGCTGCTCGACAAAAGCTTTATTGCTCGTTTGTGTACGAGTTCCCAGTATCACATTTCCTGAGTTTCTTAATGAGCTTGCAAATGAGATTTAAATAGAAAAAGAAGGAGGGGAAAAAAAAAAAAGGAAAAAACAGAGAAGCTGGAGATCTCCCTTCCCTCAGGTTGGACCAGAGTTGGGGTGGGAGTACAGTGCCCGGTGGGCAAGTCCTTGACCACAAGAGAGGGCTCAGCAGAGATGGAGGTTGAGCGTGGACCTGAGACAAACCCCCGCCGGCTGCCCTGGCTCAGTTTACCCTCTGCCTCCACCACTGAGCCCGATTTGTTTCTGACACGCAGCCACCACCAATTGCCTTTGTCACTGTTTCCACAGGTCAGAGAGGAGCAGTTGCAATCCTGCAGCGCTCCCGTGGGGAGTGCAGGGGGTCAGGAACAGGGTGGGTGGCAGGACGGCCAGGGGAGGGGGCCATGCTGCCACGGCCCCTGCTCCACAGATAAAGAGATTATGTCTCATGGTTTGTAATCCGACCTAAAACCTGACACCATCACCAGAGTCAATTTGAGCTAAGAGAAGCATTTAATAAGCTTCAAAACACACAGGCCAAAAAAAAAAAAACAAAACCCAACAAAACAACCCACCACTGAATGAAGTGAAAGGGCTCAAGGCATTGCTTGCACCAGTCAGAGCTGGCAGGTACCAACGAACACAGGATCCCTCGTGATCCAGAACAAGGCAATTACACGCTTGTTATCCTAATCCACGCCACAAGCCTGGACCCAGGCTCTGACGGGGTTTAACTGTGGGAGGCAGAAGGCAAGTTAATGCCCTTGTCTGTCTGTTTAGAGCTCACACCAAGCGGAGAGCAAACAGTCCCTCCCTGCACGAGGAGCTGCATTGCCTTGGGACACGTCGCAGGAGAGGAGACGCGGTGCTCGGCTGGCTGCTCCGAGATTAAGTCAGTCACAGACAAAGAAGCCAGACTCAAGCAGCAGGTCCAATTTGGCTTTCCTGGAAGGATTTATTTAAAAAACAGTGATTAAAAGAAGCCTGCTTGGGCACGAATGACAAGGCAACGAAGCCATTTGGCTTGAGGCTTAAAGGGGGGAGGCAGCAAGACACCAGGAGGTTTCTCTGTGCGGCTTGCCATGGGGACAGTGCCCGGCCGGGGATCCTGCCAGCTGCACATCTCCCCTCACCTGCACCGGCCAGTTCATTAGTGCTCGAAGGACACGAATGACGAGCAACTCCCCCAGGAGTGGCAGCTGGCTGCAGAGATGCAGGGCCAGCCAGCAGCCTGATGTTTTGAGACATTCACTTTGGGAACGCAGAGTTCATCATTACTAGAGAGGCTCAAGTGTCACACACCTCCCCAGAGCAGCCACTAGCCCCAGGCACAAACCCCGTGCTCCCAGACCCCATCTGTAACCCGCTGGCACGGCCAGCTGGACCAGCACCACGTTCCCAATGCTGCTGCTTTAGTGACCAATCAGCTGCAGCATCTCCTGAGGATCCACTATCTTCTCCCGGGGTTTGCCAGCAGCTTTGCCTCTTGCCACTTCAGCAGCATCTATCTTCTCCCAGTCCGAGAAGGAAACAGGACGGACCCCTGGGGTGACGGTGAGAGAGAACTTAACCAAGTAAAAACAAGTTCAGCCTCACCTCCCTGTTAGCAGGGATCTGATGTGCCAGCGAACCCTGCCCTTTTCCAGCGCGGCGTCAGACTTCAGCCTCACAAAGGAATAATAATTTCTAACACCACGAGGAGAGGGATGGCAGGTTCCAGTCAACTTGGATCCGTCAGACCTTTGTGAGCCGTAACAACGGCGAGCACGGCACCACCTTAGGGGACAAAACACTTCCAGTTCACCGTTAAGCCTCAGACAGTTAAGAGGCAAAACACACACACGCTTTAATTGAATGCCTTTAAACACAGCAACAGCAAATTACTCTCTTGGGCATTTTAATCTTTCCCCTAACTTGCCTGGAAGGATTAATAGGAAAACCACTCAAGAGCAATAGCTCACTGTCTAGGCAGCTGACAGCAACATTTTACCCAAGGTTTGTGCTGCTTTTAATGGCCCTTCCTAGAAAGTGGTTGTTAACCTTAGCAGTGACACTGAGTTTGAGGGAATTCAAGTCCTGTTCTCCCTGGGCTTTGGAGCAACGGAACAGGAGCACAATGCATTTTCCTGGTTCAGACTTTGCTCCCAAAAGTGCCTCGCCAGACTTGCTGCCCCAGGATACCCAGATCCAGGGGGAGTTTGGCTGCATCATACCTTCACGCTGGCTGCTACAGCAGCTTACCCCCCCCAACACTGACCTCGGCTGCGCAGGATGCTCTCCACAGCCCCAAAGCCTTCTCTGGGGATGGACACGTCCAGCACACCCATCTGGAGATCCTCCAGCACAGACTGGGCAGTGTCAAAGCTGTCGTTCATGGTGGTGATGATCACGCCCGTGGGTCCTCTCTTCACCCACCCGCTGCAGTACAGACCTGCATGGGCACACGGAGCAGCCAGGTTCAGTCCAGCACGTGGCTGTGGACCCTCCTGGCCGCAAGTCCTTGCCCTGTCCCTGGGTGTCACATCAGGGTGCAGGCAGTGGAAAAATCCACCCCTGCAGTGGGAAAAGAGTGTGGCCCTTTGGCGGTGCTGTCACAGGAATCTGGGTACCTGCAGACCAGCACTAAGCAGCCACATCGCTTCAGTAATAGACTCCAAGGCCCAGTAAAACCACCACATAACCTTCAGGGCTGTTGGCTGCAAAACCAGACACCCCTCACATGAGCTGGGGACAAGCCAGGTCTTGCCTGACAGAGGTGGCTCATTTCCTCAGTTTCCATTCTCCAACTGACACATGTGACTGCCTTGTATCAGTGCCCTTGGTGAACAGCTTCCCACTCCAAAACAACCAACCCACCAGCTTTGCTCGACACGCATCCCACATCTATCCCTGCAGATAGAGACCTGAGACACCCTCCACTCTGCCCGAGCTGTTGGGGATAATGCCGCGCTGGGTGTCGAAGGGTACCACTGGGTCCAGGGGCAGGCTCCGGTAGCCAATGCTGCTGAGCACCAGCCCGCACTCCAGCTCCTCCACGTCTCCAGTGGGGATGGCTTTGGCGGAGTCACCTGAGCCCTGAGAGAGGGAGGAAGAGGCTGCAGACCACCAGAGAGTCACCAGATGCAGAGCAGCAGCCTCCTCTGGTCCCGTTTGGCATCCCTGACCCCGGGGTGTTTGCTAAAGGCAGCAGTTCAGCACGGAGAGAGAGAGCTCCCTTTAGAAGGGGAAAGGCTCTTGTCAGTGGTACCAGCTTCCCCAAGAGCCGGCCAGCGGCCACTCCAAGCAGCCGGGGAAGACAAAGCTGCCTTTGGAGAGAGTCCCAAGCTTTGTCTTTGGAGAGATTTCCTGATAGGGCCACACCAGCCCCCCCCAAGCCCATACCTCCAGGCGGGTCAGGGCCAGGCGGACGCCCCTCGCCCGCCTCCCGTCAGCGGTGGGCAGCACCTCCTGGGGGCTGCGCTGGAATTTCAGCCCCCACTCCCTGGGGGCTGCTGCCTGCGCCTCCATCTTCTCCTCCCCAGGCTTCTCTAGGGCTGTTTTGATCATCAGCTCAGTCAGTCGCTTCCTGGGCCTGGGGGCATCTAGGAAGAAAGAGAGCGCTTCAGGACAGAAACCTCAGCAAAAGCCCCTCGGGACATGGCACAGAGCCGAGGTCACCTCAAGGCAGTTTCAGTGAGGGTCCATTCAGAGTTTGTCATGCCAATGGGAGTCCAACGCCTTTGAGATGACAAACTACAAGTCAAAGTGACCAGGAGAGCTCCAGAGGCTCAAGGCCAGTGGGACACACAAATCAAAGCCTGCGATTTTGCTGTCTTGCTGGTGCTCAGAGGCAGCAGCCTGTGGATAAAAGCAAGTCTCTGGACACCCTTGAACTCGGTGTTTTCCATCTAGCTCTGCAGGAAGCTCTTAAATCAACAGCCTTGGGATCTCTCCTGCAAGGTTCCCCCAGCCCTCCCGAATCTCCTGCCCTCATCACTCAGCGAGTAAGCATCATTCCCAAGCAGCAAACAGAGAAACAGTCTGTTCCCTTGTCTTTGTGGCCTCCTAGCACTCTGGGGACAAGCCACATCACTGTCACCTGGCTTTCACATGCCATGCGTTAGGCACAGGGTTTCTCTGATGCGCATTCTGAGCGTCTCCAGATCAATCCTGGATGCTCACCTGTCAAGGCGAGTCCCCGTCTGGAGGAGCGTGGTGCATTTCCCTCACCTTTAACAGCACTTTCGAGGCCTGTGAAGTCAGCAGGGTCCAGGACAGGTCTGGCACCAGGCAGATTTATCATCTCCCGCAGCTCCTGGGAATTGCAGGCAGGAAGATGTTACCTCCAGGGCAGAGAGGTTGTCCAACAGCCCCGTGCCCTCTTCCCCCAGAAGTCCAGGCTAGGAGCCAGCAAATGGGTGCAGGAAGGAGGGCGCCTGGGTTCCCCACCCATTCCTAGACCACCTCTCCCCACCAGGGACAGGCAGGCTGGGGCTCAGCACTGAGAAACAGAGCTGCCCTCCAGCACCCCCAGCCTTACCTTGATAGTGAAAGCAACTTGGAGAGGTCCCCTCCTCCCAACCAGCCAGACACGCTTCACCTTGCTGCAGGCGAGAGCTGCCAGGGAGCCGTCAGTGATGTCTGTCTTCTGCAAGACAGAGACAGGAGAGTGGGATGAGGGCAGATCTGGAGGGAGCTGGGGGGAAGGTACAGCCTCTGAAGGTGAAAAATCATCAGAAAAGCAGGCTGTGCATGCAGAGAGCCTGGGCGAGGATGGAAAACAAGCCATCTCCCTTTGCACAGAGCTATTTGCACAGCTGGTCCCTCATCACCGAATGTACTTTCTGAGGCCATAATGCACTAGAAGTAACGAGCCAGCACCCCTGAGATTGCCTCAGGGGACCCACCCAAGCACGTTAACCTGGGGGTTAATGGAGCAAAGCCTTCAACGACCTCAACTTTGGGGTGCCTGCAGATGCTGTTGGGTGACTTCCCAACTCAGGATATACAGGCATTCGGGTGAAACCCACTGCAAACCACCGCTCAAATCACTGCCTGCCCGCCCCAGGCAGCTCCAAACAAACACAAACATCAACAGGGCTCAACTGATGGTTGGCATCTTGCAGCAACCCCACGCTCTGTTTCAATTGTGTGCATGTATCTAGACTGCAAGATCTTTTCCAGGGAAGCCACAGTGGGAGGGACACCAAACAATCAGGATAAACCATTCCAGACCAATATTCTTAACTGGAAACTGCGTGCACCCTCTGACACTCATTTCCAGTGCCATGTCCTTCACAGCATTGTCTCCCAGCTGGCTTTAGCCACTGGTTGTCAGTGACTCCAAGTTGTTTCTTGTTTTGTTTGGGGTTTTTTAATTTAATTTAGATATTAATACAGGAAATTGTTGCACATCTGTAACAAACCTCACAGCATTTCTTCAGGAGGGAGAGCCTTTTCTACCATCTGGGCCAGCAGCTGTACAGAGCAGCTGGCATACACCAGTTCCCAGCTGTTTATGGGGGAGCACAGCAGCAGGAGGAGAGGTCCACCATCTCGGACCAGCCACCAGTGTGCCCAGTGCTACCAGCAGAAATCAGGCTGCTGCCCTCAGCCACAGTAATCAAAATAAATCCCAATGGAAGAAGCTTCTAGTTTGGTGGTGGAAAAGGGCAAGTAGCTCCTCCTTTGCTTCTCATAAGAAAGGGATGAAGCTCAACTGCCAACTTTTTAGGTACCAGCAGCCCAGCGGGCAGCAGCAATCCAGAGAGCTCTGCAGTGTTACCTAAGGCACAGCTGCAGCCCTTGATCACTCCCTATGGACTGTGAATCCATAGGGTGCACCCGAGAGACAACAGCCTTCCCTGGGGAAAGACCCCTAAGACAGGAGAGTCTGAGGCTTGGCCGAGATGGGTGGGAACCAGCACCCACCCAGCAGGGAGTGAATCTGGGCCCCAGACTGCCTCTGCGGTGTGAAGTACCCCTGTGACTCACCCTGAGAAGACACAGCGGGGACAGGAGGACCCGGGCAATATCCAGCGCCACATTCCCGTGACCCAGAATCAGCGCCGTCTCGCAGCTCAGGTCAGGCTTCAGCTGCAGGGAAAAAAAGACCCATCCATGGGCAAATCCACCTGACTTCCATGATGTCCACCCTCTTGGGCATGCTTCCATCACTCAAATTTCCCTTCCACCCCTCTTTTCCCCCAGAAGAGGTAGTGCAGACAGGGAAACTCTACACCAGCCTCCTCCCCAAGCAGACACAGCAACACAGCCACTCCAGGCACCCAACCTGATCCCTCTCCCCTTCTTCTTGCTATGGCATCTCTGGGAGCAGGAGCTATTTTGCCCAAAAAACCTCCTCAGGCCAAAGCACAGCATCACCCCCCCAGGTTCCCATCCGGCCTGGCCAAAACATGCTGTCAACCTACAGAGCCAGCTAATCCGCTCTCACTGATGTGCAAATTGTTCACATTTCTACCATCTAAGAAGGATTTAACATGGTGCCTGCTAATCTTTTCCAATTGTGGGCCTTTCAGGATTTAATCTGGAGCTGAATGCCTGCATTTGGATGCAGGACGGGGAGGAAGGGCAGGGAACCACACCACTGTACTCACATCCCGGTTCTCGGGCAGCCCATTGTACCAGCCTACGAATGCTCGGGCCGAATAAACGCCAGAGAGGTTCTCCCCTGGGATCCCCAGGACCCGGTTATCTTCAGCGCCGTAACTCTGAGGAGGGAGCAGAGTCAGAGATGTCACTGTGTGCAGGGTTTGATACCAAAAGACAAATCTCCCCCTTTCAGCTGCTGCCAGGGACGCTGCACGGCTGCCAACCCTTCCCAAGGGCTGGGATCCTCAGTGGAGGGGCCAAACAAAGCCTGAGCACAGGGGCTTCATCCACCCATCCTGCCTGGGCTCCAGAGCCTAACTTGACCTCCTTGGGCCAAGGCAGAGCACGACAAGCTGAAGACTGAACAGGAGGGGCAAATTCTTGTCAGGCTGAAACAGGTATTGGCCATCACAAGGAAGAGGTTCCTCAACCACTGCCCCTTGAAGTGGGGTTTTAGAGACCTACATTTGATGCCATGCTCTAGCACACGCTCCTTGCAAGGCTTTGGACAAGCCTCGTAGCATCTGAGCTGTCTCGAGGCTGAGAGAGTTTACCACGATAATAAGGCACCCAGAAATGCCTCACCCAAGCCCTCTTCCCGAGATCCCAGTGGAGAATAACCCTGCAGACCTTCCCCGCGACTCCTGGGGAGCTAAGGCAGCGCTGGCTCTGAGGCGCGGTACCCACCAGCACCACGGCGTGGTAAGCCTGCCGCAGCTCTGCCACCGTGACGTCCCTCCCCACGGTGACGTTTCCGTAATAGGCGCAGCGCTCCGAGCGCGCCGTCTGCGTGAAGGCGTTGATCACGTTCTGCCAAGATCAAACAAACGCCGGGGAGTTATGTCCGAGCCCCCGCTGGGGCCAAGGCCTGCTGCTGACAGGAGGTCCTCGTCCCCGTCACCCCCAGCCTTGAGATGCTTCTCCCCCTCTCCCAGTCAGTTATTCTGAGACTTTTATCTAACAAGAGCCGTAGATAATTCACAGAGAGATAAGCACAGCTGTGACTCGGCACTCTTTCCACCACCCTTTGTGGAAAGGAAAATCCATCTTTTGCACGCGCCTGGGGAGGACAGGACCCTTCTGTAGGAAAAAAATGCTTCCCAAAGATGAGGCTTCCAAGGGAGTCCCACCAAACAACCCCTTCCATCAAGGGTGCTGCCTGCCAGACCCCCACCTCTGTCAGCCTCTCATCTCAACCCTTCCTAAAACCCACTTCATCAAGAGAGGATGCAGGGCAGGATGGTGCCCAGAGCCTTCCTTTCTGAGCAACACAGCAAAAACAACCACTTCACACAGCAAAGCAACCACTTCTTCCCCTGCAGCTCCAGATGGGCTCAGCCTGGTAACAGGATGGATACCGCCTTACTGCAAGCGCTGTCCCAAACCCACATCAGTTATGTCCATTCCTCCTCCCTCAGCTCAAAGGCATTCAGGTATTTTGGTCTGATGCTCTCCAGGGATTAGAGGAAACCATCACAAGATATCACTGTGTCAGGATCTCCTGTGTCCTACCGCTTCAGCCACCTCTACCCCAGCTCAGACACAGCCGATACCCCTGGGTACCACTCACACCCACTGCGAGGAAAAGGAAAATGGGTGATGTCAAAGAGCTCCCCGGTTTAACTTCTCCTTGCCCAGATGTGCATCTACAGCCCAACTCCATCACCCCTAATAGCAGATCTGTGCGTTCCCAGGCACCCAGAGCAGGTATGAACAGAGCAAACAGCAACTGCAGCAAGCGGGCAGGATCCCGCCAGCACAAAGTTTCCTGATCCAAAGAAACCCATCCGCGCTCCCTGGTTTCGCTCTAGGCCAGGCTGACCAGCACCAGCAGCAGCACGTCCCACCACAAACCCATGGTTTTGACCCGCTGTCCAGAGCCCTAATACCAGACACCCCATATCACCCAGCCATGGCCTTGCTGGGTCTCAGCACGGACAAGGAGGAGATGCTCCACACCACAGCAAGCCCTGAGGCACCAGGAAGGATGGTGACTGCCTTGCCTGCACCCACCACCATCATCATCTTTGTGGACAAAGGGAAGAAGCTGGCACCAACCTTCACTTCAGGGTGGTCCGGGGCCACCCCAAAACGGACGAGCCCAAAGGGAACGGGCAGCTTCTCATAGATGTCCACCTGGGCCCCGCCGTGGTGCTGCAGGAGAAGGAAGTCATGGTTAAGGGACAAGGACACAAAGGCCACATGAGCCCAGCAGCTCAGGAGGGACACGCGACGCTCGCCTGCTGCTGAAGGAAATATGGGGCAGGAGGGAGGGTTGCACCAAGATCCCATAGCCAAAAGCAGCCTCTTCCACGCACAGGATGATGCTGTACCTGTTACCGCCAGCTCAGATCGCAAGGTGTAGTAGAGAGTGTGACCCCAACCACCACCAAGCACATCTCGGGGGGGTTCTCCATCCTCCTACCCCCCCCCACAGCTTCTCTTCTGCAGTACCCATCAGGCTACCAAAAGAGCCTCCACACTGGCTGGGAAGCACCCAGCCCCGCACCCCGGGTGCTGGGGGACATGCCAGGCCATCTGCCAGCTCCCAGGAGAGATGCCCATGCCCTGAGATCCCCCTGAGCTGAGTCCCCTCAGAGCTGGAGCTTCAGACAGATGTTTCACTGCAAGGCTTTTGTTATCTTGTATTTTGAGTCAGCCTCTTCCCGGAGATTAAGCAGCCCTGAAATTTGTCCCTGAGGCTTAGTAACAGCTATTTTCCAAACACGTACTGGAGATAGCACAGCACAGTCTAATGACGGGGTTAAGCTGCTGCATCTCTGGTCGGTGCCAGCAGCTCAGTTCTGTGCTCGCGTCTCATTTCCTGACAGAGACCTGACTGCCCAAAGCACTAACATTTACAGACACTGGGTAAAGGATTAACCGTGTGCCTGATTTCAACTGGGGGAAGCAGGAGAGCTGCACATTCCCTTTAACACACCGCTAATGTCATCCCTGTTGGGTGACAACAGCTCCGAGAGAGGCAGATCTCTGCTGTTTCTTTGATTCTAGAAAAATCACTTGGGCTGAACTAGCAGCGACCCGGCCAGGTCTGGGTCCAGCCCCGGGGACGGGGGCTGCAGTGCCCACCCCAGGTAAAGGGAGCCTGGAGGACTCTGTGGGGTCTGGGCTGCCCCAAGCAGCCCCCCCAAACAACACAGACCCTGGCTGGGGCAGGGTCAGGAGCCCCCCCAAAACCACCCCCCAAGCCGCTGAGAGCCAGGCAGCGCGGAGATGCCTCCCTCAGCGGGCAGATCCCACCCCGGTACCTTGAGGATGTGCTGAGCCGTGTAAAACCCGGCGGGCCCGCTGCCCACCACGCAGACGCGGGGAGCGGGGGCAGCCGAGGCCAGCCACCGCCTGAAACCTGGAGGTGCGAAGGACAGAGAGGATGAGGTGCCACCCCCCAGGCCCGGCCGCGGGGCCTTCCCCCGAACCCAGCACCCACCCCCAGGGGCTCGTCCCGCCGTGCCGGCCATGGCCGCAGCCCGGCGGGGGAAGCCCGGGCTTTATGTACCCGGCACAAGAGGTTTGGGGCGCGAAGCGTTTCGAGGTCAAGGCCGGAGGCCCCCGCGCTCGGCCCAGCCCACGGCCTTGGTGATAACGGCCGAGCCGAGCCGGGGGTGCCGCAGGGGCTCCCTGGCCCCGGGAGCAGCACCAGAAAGCACCGTACGGGGCGGGGGGGGGTGTCCCTGCACTCCTGCCCCTCGCTCCACCGGGGCTGGAGCGTGGGCCTGGCAGGCATGGTGTCCGCAGCCCCGGTTCCCCCGGCCCCGGTTCTCCCGGTCCCAGTTTCCCCATTCCCCCGGCGCCGGTTCACCCACACCAGCCCCGGTTCCCGTTCCCCGCTCCCCAGATCCGGATCCCCCGGCCCCGGTTCCACCCTCCCCAGCCATGGTTCGACCGGTGCTGTTTCCCGTTCCACCCCCAGCCCCGGATACCCAAGCGCCGGGTCTCCTGGTCCCTGTTCCCCGCCGCCAGCCCCGGTTCCCGCGGTCCCGGTTCCCATTCCCTCCCCCGGCGCCGGTTCCCGTTCCCCCGTTCTCCCCCCTCAGCCCCGGTTCCCCCGGCGCCGATTCCCACTGTCCTGGCGCCGGTTCCACTCCCCCCAGCCCCGGTTCCCGCGGTTCCCCGGCGCCGGTTGCCCCGTGACGCCGCCAGGCCCCGCCCCTCACCGCGCGGGACGCCACCGCCCCTCCAGCACGCGACGCCCGGTCCCATCCCGGCTGCCGCCGCCGCCGCCGCCGCCGCCGCCGCCCGCCGTCGCCCCGCCCCTCCTCCCCGCCGACCAATCGCGAGGCTGGAAAGTGAGATGCTTTGCATAACTCCGCCCCCCACCGAGCCGCGTGCCCACGCCCCCTCGCCGGCAGCCAATAGCGGCACGCGGTTGCTGTCACGGCCATCCGGAAACGAGCGGCACCATAGAGAAGTACGGAAGGAGAGGCTGCGTCGCGGCCGCCCGCGCCACCGCTCTCTATGGCGAGACCTCCGCGGTACCCTGCCTGGGGCTCCCCGCATCAGCATCCTCCCTGCGGCTGCTCATTGCGGGCGCCCCTTTATTGCCAAGAATGACTTACTGCTGAGGTCTTCCGGTGTAAACCGAAGCTCAGACTGATTTTAACCATCTCCCTGTGTAGCCGCCCACCCCTGGCAAGGAGAAATCCACAGCATCCCCTTAGTAAAGGATAAAACTGCCAGAGGCAGTGGATAAACGCTGCTGCCAGAGCCCCATCCCCAGCCTCCCACACGGTCCCTGCTTTATTTTCTCCTTAATCCCCATCACTTGGCTCATTTCAAATGCAACTACTCACACCCTCCGTGCAAGAGCACCCCATCTTGCTTCAGCCCCTACACAACATACCAGGCAGAAAAATCATCTCAGTGGGCCCAGGAGATGTTTAAGGGTTGTACAGATGCCAAAGCATGCAGACGAGCACTAACAGGGCTTTTTAAATGCAATTAAGACCTAGAGGAGTTTACAGCTAAAAGCTGATTTTAATAAGGGTCATAAAACCCACACGCTTTCTCACATGGTCTTGAAAATTAGTTCATGGCTTTCTGCAAAAGCATGCTGAGAACGGCAGCTGGCCATATGCCTCCGTCTGCACCCGCTCCTTCAGGGTGTTTGCAGTGAAGACCAGGATTTCTGATGGCTTTAATGTCTGTGCCTGTGCTCTTAGCCCCAGCCTTGGCTCAGCACAGCAACGACCAACTCATTGCCCAGAGAGGAGAGGCTGGAGGCACAGTTCCAAATACCAGCATCGATATCATCCACAAAAAGCGCTGAGTTTAAATATGGGGCATTTAAATTTGAGGTGGAAATTTGGGGGCTTCAGAGCACAAGGCAGAAATCTCTCTTTTCCCCATTAACCTCTGCTGTGTCTGTCACTTCTGACAGAGAATAATCCACCTATTTTCTAAATCACAAGTCACCTCCTGCTGCCTGAAGGACCTGCAAACACCTGCCTTTAGATGGCACTGTGATAAACAATATCCATGAAAAACAGCTTTGAAAAGGGCTGTTGCTCCCAACAATGCTTACAAACATTTTGGGACTGATCTCTTTGCAACAGGGGAGGAGAAAGAGCACTCTGTGCCCATAAGCAGAGACACGTGAGGCTCAGATAACCCTATCTGAACCAAAAGCACTGCTAATGAGTGCTCACCCCCTCCTCGCTGGAGCTGGGAGCACTGTTGGTTTGGCACATTTAGCATAATTTAGTTTTTATGCTCAATTAAGAAATTAATCACAGGGGCAGGAGGGCAGCTCTGGGGAGGGTCTCTGCCACCCTCTGGTCCCGGGTGACCCCCCCATGAGCACTCAGGCCATTTGGTCCAGCCACCCCCCCACCCCACAGCTTCCCTCCCCACCTATAGATCTGGCCTAACCCACAATCAAAGGGCAAGAATTTGCCCTTTGGATGTTTCACAATGTCCTGGGTTGATAAACCTGCATGGGGCCAGTTAGAGGTGACACGGCGATGCCACCAGCCCAGGGCATCAGCATCCCCCAGGCCCCAGTCCAGGATAAATCAGTAATTCCCTGTTTCTGTTGTCAAAGAGGTCACACTGGATGGATCCAGGGCCAACTTCCCCCACCCCAAGTCTGGATCTGCTACACAGGGACACACTGTGGCCATCCTGGCTCCAGCCCCATGTCACAGCAGCCACAGAGACATTTCTCCAGTGGGTGTCTGAGGATGTCCCCACGTTTGGTGAAGGAAAACAGGGTACATGATGCCCACAGGAGGGAAAACACCACAGACTGCCCACTGCCACCCTCACCTTGCCATGGGCCGGGACCAGAGCAGAGCATCCCTGTGCCTTGGGACACCTTTGCACTGTGGAGCCTTATAAATCGCAGTTGTGGGGATGGGGGGGATGGTCCAACCCTTGTGAGGGGACAGCACAAATTGGGAAGCAAAACCCCAGGCTCAGAGCAAAGCCTCACAAATCCAGGGTCAACACCGGCTTCTGTGTTTGTCCCAGTTGGGCCAGTTGTTTTTTCTGCTGCCAGCTCCCCACTGGGACATTGGGTTGGAATTTGTCATTGGTCTGGCATGTTTGGAACAGCAGAGCACCCCAGGAAAAACCAAGGACATCATCCCAGAGGGAGTTGGAACCGGCCACTTGAGCATCCCTCTCACTGACAGCAGCTCAGTGGAGACCAGACTGTCTTCGGCTGGTGATTCTCCCACTAAATCCTTACAATAGTAATGATGAGGTCTGGGGTCACCTCTGGCACCCCAGTACAGATACCCCACATGGGGCGAGGGTCTTTCCCACAGCCCTGCCTTGGGCAATGTGGGATACTGGTATGGCTTGCTCCAGCAATAAAACCCAGTAATAACGAAGCTGCACTTCAACGTGTTAAGGCTGAATTTGCCAAATCATTGTTCCTAGAAGGGACTGATTTACCCCGAAGTCAGGCAAAGCGCAGGCAGCAGTGACACAACCCCCTCCGCACCGTCCACCCTTTCCCTGAGCCCCCGACCACACATTTGCAGCCCCTTCCTGCAGATCTTGGTGGCTCTCAGCCAGAAACCAACTCCAGAAGCTCCGGACACGGTGTCACATTCCCAGCTGCATCCCCCAGGTCCTGCTGCAGGGAGGCCCCAGCCAGCAAACCGGGGTTTTCTCTCCCCAAGCATGAAAGCGGAGTGGATAAAACTAAGCCCTGGCTGTGAATAACTGGGGGAGACCCCCTGCTTTTTCTGTCCCTGGCGTTGCACCACCCAGCTCTCCTCCTGCAATGGCTCCGTGCATCGTTATCTAGCCAAAAGCAAGACATTGGGGAGAGATGTTTCCTACACGATGGCTTTATGGAAGCATTTGTCTGTGTAGCCCTGATCCTGCTAAAACCATCCCTGATGTGCCTCGTGGGAAACAGCCCCCCATGTCCTGGGGCCCCATCCTCACTGGATGCCGACTAGTTCCGTTATGGGGGGAGCATGGACCATCAGCTCCTCGTATCGCTGCAGGAAGAGCCGGAGCCTGGAGACGTAGGTGTCTTCATTGTATGGCAATTTCTTCTGCTTCAGGTACTGGGAGACGACTGGTTTGATCTGCAAAGGCAAAGGTGAAGTCAGCTCTGTGCAGGATGCCCCGGCACCTGTACAAGATTCCCAGCCTGAGACATCGCTGAGGTCCCCACAAGATGCCCAGAAAACCTGTCTCACATGCCCAAAATGGGGCTGAAGACAGCAGCACCAGTTATAACATCTTTACCATGAAAATTAAGAGGAAGGTGGTTTCTGATTGTGGCAACATAAGGAGTTTACCCTAGCAAAACACCTTTGCATGGCTCAGGATTAGGAGAGATGCCCTCATGAAGTTTTAATGAGGGACAGCCACGCATGCTCCTCACTTGCACCCATAGTTATCCCCACGTGCCCACACAGCTGGCTGAGTGACAGGTCTGGGAAGCTGCCATCAGCTTAATTACCCCTTCCCTGTAACACGCCTTTGAGGGAGGCAGGTCCTACTGGCCCCATGAGCTCGAGCAAAGGCCACAACCCCAAACCCACTGGTGTTCCTGCTCCCTCTATTACTATTACTTAATGTTGAGACTGAAAATAAGTGCACAGCATTGAATGAGTGGAGAACCCATGCTGAAGGGCAGCGCATGGACCTGCCTTGGGATCCCCTCAAGCAGAGACAGCACCCAGAGCCCACATTTTGAACACACCCCATACCTCAGAGCAACGAGTAAGGGCATGACCAAAATTACAGGGGATTTGCCTGGATGCCAGCTGAACCATAAGCCAGGTTGCGCAGTGCTGGAGATGTTTTCCCAAGGGAAGAGTTGGGAGGATCCCAAGAGGCTGATGCAGACTGGAATTGGGACCAGAGGAAGGAACAGGGAGTGGAAACCCAGAAGAAACAGGAGTGGGGTTACAGGGAGGTGGGTTAGGGGCTGTTGCAAAGCAGCAAGAGGTCTCTAGCATGGGGAGAGTAGTGCAAAGAGGTCCGGTGGCAGGAGAAGAGGTGGTGGGAGATGGGTGGTCTCATCCCCATGTCACTTCCCAACACGCTCATCTACTCTGCAGGGCCGTCTCACCTTGAGGCACATGTTGTCGGAGAGGCTGGGGAAGAGGTGATGCTCCACATGGCAGCTGATGAGCGAGTGGCCAAAGGACCAGTCGAGTAGGGCGTTGCGGGGCAGGTTGAGGACACCCAGGCTCATGAGGTGAATCCGCTTGGGTTTCCGATCAGCCGCGAACATGGGGAGGCCGATGTGCTGTGGGAGAGGCAGAGTGGGGACCCCGTGGCACCCACCACCCCCCGGCCCCTTCCTGGCAGAGCCAACCACGGCTCTGGCCCTGCGAGGGCACGAAAGATGCCAACCAGGCTGAGTCACACTTTGGGGTTTGGCTGCCAACCCCCACCAAAACTGGGTTTGTCCCTAAAGTCACCCCTTCCTGTGCTTGCCTGTCCATGGAACCACTGAGGAGAACCTGGGCTCTGTCTCTTCAATGCACCCCCACTTTGAGCCACCAGCCTTTCGCTGTCCCAGGACCAGTTTCACCTACACCTTCAAGCACACCAACCCCCCAGTCCTGCAAGCCACCGCAGAGGACATCACCCTTCAGCCTTTCACACCCATCTGCCCTGACATTCTCCCCAGGCCACCTCTTTCCACCCCAGCACCACCAGCATGATCCTCACCATGATGACATTGGCATGAGGGATGTGACAACTGAGGCTGCTCGCCTTAAGCTGACACAAGCCCCAGCCAGCAGTGTCAGGGCTGTGTCACCAGTGCTGGGTGATGACTGGCCTGTCTCCAGCACCATTGGGACATCTTGGAGCTTCAGGTCTCTACCTGGAATATGTTGACGTGGATGTAGGGATGGGCCAGGAGGGAGCGGGTGAGCAGCATGCAGAGCAGGGCAGACCATGGTGACTGGAAGCCCGAGACGTGGAGCAGCAGCCAGTAATGGCAGTAAAGACCCAGAAACATGAAGCAGAGGGTCCGGAGAGCTGTTTTCCACTCTACGTTCCTCAACAAATCTGCATGAGGAAGAAGAGGCAACACATGGGCAAGGTGCTGATGCTTCCCCACCACTGCTGCTCCAGCAGCCAGGATGCCCAAAATGCCAATAAACCTACAGCCCACTGTAACCCATCCTGTTCTTCATCTCCCTTTCCCCATCCTCTAGGTAGGCCCAAACCCCCCCAGCCCTGCTGACCTGCTGGCTTTTGGAGCTGGGGCCTGGAGCCCCACCAGGGCAGTGGGACAGAGGCTCTGACTGTGCATCATCATACAGGGATTTGCCTCCATCTTCATTTTTTACAACTTGCCAAGTCATTGTCTGCATTTTTGGCACTGCCCAGAGGTGTGTGTTCAGCCTGACAAGGCTGAACTTTCTCAGTCTCTTACTATTTTCTAGGCTCTTCTCCCTGATTGTTTCCTGGTACCATTATTTCCCCCAAGACACTCCCTCATCTGCCCAAGCTCGTTGTGTCCCTGTCCCCATAGACCCCCACACCTCCACCTTGCACACAGTCAGCAAAACCACTATGATGCTTTGACTGCTCAGAGACCTACATGTAATGCTGAACCCTGCCGTGGCCAAGGGTCTGAGTCAAAGGCGAGCAAATTTAGGGCACTTCAGGTTCCTGATGGCTTTTGCCAGAACTTCCAACATTTGACCCAATATAAGAAAACGTGAAGCATTTCTGAGCACCAGCACAAAAGAGAGATGCAGCAGATGCCTTCCCCAGAGCAGATGCAGCATCGTCTGCCTTCACGGCAACGCTGTGTCCCACCATAGGCCAGTGTAGTCAATGTGATGCCTCCAAATGAAGCAGGACCCTTCAGAGGGGTGACACCTGGACAGTAGCAAGCTCACCATGCCCAGCACCCCATCCCAAGTCGGTTGGGACACATACCAAGTGCAACCAGAGGGGTTATGATGGGCACCGCAAGAGGCGCAATGAACATATAGACGTAGCGGTTCAGGAAAGGAAGCTTCCAGGTGCTGGAGTCCCCCAAGCCGATGACGTTGGTGTAGCCATGGTGGATCTTCACATGATTGTAAGTGGCTTGCTCAGCTGTAAAAGCTGAGCAGAGCTGGGAGGGAAGAGAAAAGAGAGGTGATGCCTACAGCCTCGGCACCAGGGTCGGGCACCACGTGGCTTGGACTGGCAGGAGAATTACCCAGGGGAGATACGCTGCACCCCACAGGCTCCAAACCAGTCTGGAAATGGACTTCTTAAAACTTAAGCACTAGAAACCATTCCCACCATTCCTCACAACACATTATCCTGCTCTGCAGCCAAGGGGACTGACATGAAGCCTCACAGTCCAGCACACTACAGGGGCTGTCCCCAGCTGGGGGCTCAGCTCCCCAACCCTCCAACTCCAGGAAAAGCCTCACAAGTAGGGATGCTCCTGGTACTCCCTGGTGTAGCATCACTTTTCATTTAACCCTCCCGCACATGGATCAGGAAGGGTTTGGATCCATCTTGTTCTCCAGTGGCTGTTCCTGAAGGGCTTGGGGTGCTGGCAAGGTGCTGATGGGGCTTTTGGGGACGCTGCCACCCTGTCCCTGCCCCGGTCCCACTCACCTCGATGAAGAAGATGGCCCACACTTTGCCCCAGGACTTGGACTCTGTCAAGGCGTTGTGACTGGCCAGGTGGCTGCCTTTCACCGTCAAGGTGTGATGCACCACGCCAAGGGTGAGGACACCCGCCAGGAAAGGGATGGCCTGGGCTGACCGCAGGCACAGGAACCCTGTGGAGAAACCAGCTGGGCAGGAGCTCATGCTCCTCCTCTCCTCCCTCTACTTGTAGCCAGGCCAGAGGTGTTGCTACACCCAAACACACCAGCCACTGCCCTAAACTTGTTTTTCAGACATAGTTACAGGTATTTAAACTGCCTGAGCCAGAAAGCTTCCCTCCACACTGCTCTGCACGGCTGGACCAGCCATGCTCACCGTCGTGCTGAAGGTTTGGCCACTTCTAGCCACGATGGCAACGGGTGCTGCTGGTGCCAGCTCCCATCCCGCAGCTCTGGCTGGAATCCCACTGGTGACAAATATGATCATGCCAGGATTTCAGTACCCCCCAGGAGTTCAAAAACAAGAGAAGACACCAGCTGCAGCTTTCTGGTCATGCTGCCAGAGCCCCATGCTCAACCCCATCCCACCGCACTCGCCACGGACAGGGCCACTGTCACTAAAACTGCCAGGGTTTCCCTGTCCCACAGCAGGGCACACTGCTCCCTGTCCTGCCCTGTGCCCAGCTGCCCAGGCACCGTCCCCTCACCCCAGGCTGTACCCCGGGTGCCACCATCACCCATTGTGGGTTTCCAGTGGGGTCAGAGTGCCCCATGGCATGGAGTGAAACGGTTATTGCAGCTTTGTTACAGGCTTAATGGGCTTCTAGCACAAAATTGTACCAGCAGTGCAAAAACTATGAGGAGGCAGTGGGACCCCCCCAGGACCCCCCTGGCTGCAGTCTGGGGGGGCTGAGCTGAGTTACCTGCTGGGAGCAGGAGGAAGCTGCAGACGAGGATGCTGACATCCACACCGTGCCGTTCCCACCAGCTGCTGCTCTTCACCACCTTCTGCACCAGCTCCGAGAGCTCGGCCATCAGGGCTTCCTCGTGCCGCCCCGCTCGCTGCGGGCCCCCCCTGGATGTCACATCGCTCTCACCCAGCGCCGGCCCCGGCTCCCAGTCCTCTGCCATCACCTCCATCCTGCTGCCATCGGGCACCGCTGCGCCTCGGAGCGGGGGGTCTCCAGCTTCACTGACCCGCTGTCCCCTCTGCCTCACCGGGTCCCCGTCCTCCAGCGGCATCTCCCTGCTGAGCAGAGGCCACGCAGGGTAAAACCCACAGAGGAGCACCCACAGCACCCCGACCCACCTCAAACGGGCTTCCCGGCTCCCGCTGCCACCGAAGGACACGGGAAGGGCAGGGATGGAAAAAAATAAACAACCCGAGGAGGACGCAGCCGGGGGAGACAGGCAGGGAGCCACCCAGCCTCCCACGCCGGGGACACCCCGGCCACCACCCAGCCACCACAGCCCCCTACTCACGCCAGGCCGGGCACGGTGGCTCTCCCGGCGTTGGCCGTTTCGGGGCAGCCGGCCAGCCCGTGCGGCACCGCACACCGGTGCCGTGCAGCAGCGATTTGGAGAAGGGAGGAGCAGGGGAGGACGGGGAGGAGGGAGAATGCAGATTAGCAATGGCAATAATCCGCCTTGGCGGCCCTTTTCGGGCAGCAGCCATCGCGGTGGGGACATGGGGAGGACACTCGGCTGAGGGCACGAGGAGGTGAGGGCAGCAGAGGAAGGAAGGAGTGGAAAAAAAGATGGAGAAAAGCGGTGGAAATGCTGGAGACACAGGAGCCAAGTGCCAGAAATAGCCCCAAGAAACCCAAGCATAGCACTGAGGATGGGGATAGGGTTTCACTTCTGCCGGGAAGCAGGAGGAAATGTTGCCTGTCCCACAAGGGAGCCGTTTTGGGGAGAAAAACAGCCCTTTTTCACAGCAAGGAGCAGGCTGCGGGAAGGAGGGGGCAGTGCACGGCTGCGCAGCTGCCTGTGTGTCCAAACTGCTGCTGCGGAGCCACTCGGCATCCTCCTCCGTGCTGGGGGGGGGGAGATGCTGAGCCCAGGGGTACCCATCAGGGACCAGGCCACCCCAAATCTGTGCCTAGCAGCCATGGCACCCGACCCCGGCTCCCACAGGGTCCCTCTTTTCTTCTGGGCTGTTTTCAGGAATTTACTAAGAATTTCTTCTCTTTTCCATTGCTGCCTCCTGATTAATCACTCAGCCACAGCACAGGCACCCCAAAAGCTTTGGGATGCCCGTGCACAGACTGAGCCCCATGTTTTTACGGAGGAAGGCTAAAGATACATTGCTTCTTGCTAGAATCTAGGGGTGCTAGATTTCTTCTTACTTTGTTATTTCTTTTAACCAGAAACCAAATCAGGCCACCGGATCCACCAAAACCTTGACAAACACTGACGTCTAGCAAATCCATAGACAAGGCTCATTTGTTATACCTACTGTTGGAGTACCCCAACCCCAAACTGGGACAGGCTCAGTGCTTCCAGTAACAGCACATCACTGCAGCAACTTGCAGGGAAGGAAACCTCACACCAAAGTTGCACCAAGCCCCAGGGGATTGTCACCATACACTGGAAAAAAAATAATAACAATTCAAAAAATCACACCTTCTGCAAAAGAGGCAGAGCCGAGGGGGCATTAGAGACGTGCCGAGGTTTCATTTTGATTGTAAGAGCTTCTATTATGAAAGATCATTTCCAGAACCAAGAGTACTAATGAATTACAGCAACGTCCGAAGCCCAGCAAGCTGCAGGGCTGGCTGCAGCCAGCCAGGTCAGTGATTAATTCTGACACACAGCGTGGTTTTCATCACCAGCTCGTTAGTGGGGGAAGCCTGTGGCTGGGAGAGCACCCATGGGTGCTGCTGGGCTGGGAGGAGGTGGGTGTCAGACCCAAAGGGTGCATCAGGTGGGGCCGCTGGGTCCACTTCTGAGTGACGACTTCGTTACTTTCATCTCCCAGGATGTCACTGCGAGGGACGGTGGCAGCACGGTGGCAAAGCCCTGCTCCAAGGGGTACCAGGCTGCCGTTCAGTGGGGCCAAAGGTGAGCAGTGGTGGGACTGCCATCGCACAAGTTCAGAACGGGGCAGAACTGGTTATGAGGTGGTGGCCGAGGAGGAGGAGGTAGGGATCAGCCCCACATCCAAGACCAATATGAGCCATCAGGATCCCACGACAGCCAGCGTGCCAGTGTGCATGGACAGAGTCATGTGTGGCACCTCTCAGTCCTGTGCCACCACTGGGACCAGAGACCTGGGAAAAGAAACAGTGGATTGAAAACCATGTGGGAGAGGCTGAGCTTTGGCTTCTGGGGGAAAAGTGTCAAACCCCTAAGAGCGTCTTCCTTCGAGCTGCAGTAAAGGTGGGAGTCACGATGCTCACAGGAAAGCAGCAGCCATAAGGAGAGGCTGCAAAGCTGTAAGGCAGGCCAGCAGATTTGGGGTTGTAGCCCTAAATCTGCTTCCTTGCTGCCTTGCAGAGCTCTATTTTCAAAATAAACTTTTAAGCCCCCATTTGCATCTGATTTTCCACCACACACAGGCCAAGCCATTCAATCCCGCTGGCCCCACTAAGATTTTAGGAATGAAGGTAAACGCTGACTTGGCCCTCGCACCGCGGACTCAAACACCTCCAATGTAGCAGGAAAAACACATTAAAGACTCAGAAATCCTTTGGCATGCAGCAGGGCAGCTGCACGGGATCAGAGTAATCTCTGGAGCAGCAAGTTCTTGCTGGCAGCTGCCGACCCTGCAGCCGTCCCTCATCCCAGGCAGCATGGGGGTCCCATGAGCAGACCCCCACTGCCTCTGCAGGCAGCTGCCAGCCCCCAGGGAGTCCCAAGGATCTGTCATCTCATGTCACTGCTCCCAGATGAGGGGACAACGGGCCATTTTAGCATGGCACAAGGGCACACGTGTCAGGCTGGCAGGACTCAGCAGCTGCAAGCAGCCCTTGCTGATCCCTCCAGGGTTCCCTCAGCCTGTGGGCAGAGCCCACTGCAGCCCCCAAAGGGGGCATTTCCAGCCCCAAATCCAGGAGCTGTTTGCAAAAGTTTCAGTACTTGCACACCAGGGCTGTGGTGGGGGGCAGAACCTCCTTGGCAGCCCCTCCATCCCTCCAGCCACCCACCCTGTGCACCCTCCTCCTCTGCCACCCTGGCTGCTTCAGCCAGACACCCCAAAACCACCATCCCCCTTTCCCCTGGCATAGCTAGAGTTGCAAAGATTCACCTTTTTAATACCTGGGTTTGGGTGGGGTTCCTGCTTCCCCCTCCCCTCACCCCTCCTCCTCCCCTTTTCAGGCCAAGCACATTTGGGTAATTAACTTAATGAGGGGTTAATTACCACCATCCCCTTCCCAGCAGGGAGAGCTTAAACACTGTCTTCTTTTCCTTTTGGGGTCTGGCAGAGACACTGTGGCCTCAAGAAGAAACTTGTGGGGTTTAACACTTTCCCTCAAACCTCTCCCTGAGCCTGACAGCTGAGCAAGGAGCTCCATCTGCAGGCAAAACCCTGTCTCCATCACCCCCGAAACCAGCCCAGGCTCCCCAAATTCAGGCCCTGGCACAAGGGTGCTTGGCAGAGCCCAGGCTCCACAGCCAAGCAGATCCCATGGATGCTGCCAAGCCGGGAGCTCCACTCTGGTCCCCACACACCCACCCACACCAGGGCTGCCCCACGGCCAGCTGGGCCACCCCAAACCCTCCATCCCTGGGGCTGTGGGATGAGGAAAGAGCAAAGGACAAGCTCGGGAGCCTCAGGGCAGGCACCAGAGGGAGTTGCAGCTCCGTGCAGCAGCTGCTCTCGCTGTCATTTTGCCAAAAGCGTGGGATGCTCAGCCCTGGGCTGGTGGGATCCCCAAAGGTGAGACCCATCCTGATCCGTGTGCTGGGGTGAGCAGCTCTCAGTGGGTGCTGGGGGTGACACAGCCACCGAGCCCCAGCCCACAGGGTGCAAAGTCCCCTCGCAGGGACCAGGACCTTGGGTGCAGCCACAGCCTCTCTCCGAGCTCTGTCGGTGCCAGGCTGGGACAGGGCTGGCAGGGACAGCGAGATACCGGATCTGTCTGGTGCCCTTCGGTAGCCCACGTGCTCCCAGCCCTTCAGGGACGTGGCAAGGCCATGCTTTAACCTTAAATAAATACCCCCCTGGGATGTCTCGCTGTTTGCAGGGCACAAACAGCCACTTTGGGCAATGGAAAACTTCCCGCTCGTGCTTGGCAGCTCCGGGAAGAAACTGGATCCCAGCGCTGGCTAATCTGGCCGATCTGTTTGTGCCAGCCGGCGTGGCACAGACCGGATGGCGGCGAGACGGGGCAGACAAAGCTGTGCTGCCCTGTCCCAGGTCGTGCACGGGCTGCCGGGAAGGCACCGTGGATGGAGGTCGATGGTCTTATCCAGGCTCTGTGTCGGTCCAATGTCACCTCGCGCTGCCCCAGCACCTGGGGAGGGATGCAGCTGAATGGCAGAGCCCCCCAAAGGTCATTGCCCAGCTAGAAAAGGGGTCCAAGCCCCACACCCCCAGTGTCATTCACATCACTCTTTACACTGCTGCCACGTTTTTCTCATCCCTGTTTGACCCTCAGGTGGCTGCTGGGGGGTCGCACATGGGGAATTGTTCTGTTAAACCTCAACGATGTTCACACCAGGGTGAGAAGAGCTGGGATTTACCTCACAGCAGCATCCAGGTACAGAAACGCCAGCTTAGCTTCTTGGTGCTGCAGGCTTTAGGGGCCACACGGCATGGCAGGACCCAAGTTCTCCTGGCTCCCAGGATGGGACAGTGGTCCTCCAGGTCCTGGCCAGGCTAGCATGCTGCTGTGTTGCAGGGGTGGACCACCAGCATCCCCCACTTGCAGAGCAGGGACAGACCCACAGGACTGCCTGTGCAGAGTGGGAGGCTCTTCCTTGCGTGGGGTCAGACACATGCCTGGTATCACTACGCCATGGAGGGGAACATAACCGCCTTCCCTCTCCCCTTTTCAGTAGCCATCTGCAAACACAAGAACTCCAAAGCTGAGGGACAAGCCCCGGGTGGAAGTCCTCGCCTTCCCAAGGCTGCAGGGCCAGGTGAGATCCACAGTAGTGGCTGGTGTGGGAGATTTATTCAAAGCCAATTGCACGTGAAAACCAAACCCAGCACCAAGCCTGGCCCTGAGCCTTTGGAACCCTGCCCAGGACTCAAAGTCACAGCGCCAAAACCCATCCTCATCCATGAGCACCCCAAATGCCTCAGGGGACCTGCTGCATATCCACCACCATCCCTTTTGGCCAACACCACCAGAATATCCTGATACCGTACCCAGATCTTGTTTTCAGTTTTCTATATCAGCAGTGAATAAAGCAGTTGTCATCCACCCCCTGCTCCAGCACGGCTTAATTTCCAAAGCCTGGCTGGAGGTGTCAACTAATCACAGACTTCCTCCACTTAGCAGCTCAGGGTGAAGGTAATCACTGGTTTGGGTGCCTCTGCTCTTGCCCCGACCGAAACTGCTTGCCCCCACCCCTTGGTCCCTGGCGTCACCGCCTGGCCAGGTGTTACCTAACACGGGCGCACGGTGGAGATGCCGTGGGCTCCATCCCGCTCTGCTTCCTAAATG